CTCATGCTTCACATAGCAGAAGTCTTTGGTGAATTCAACAGTGTAGCCTTTGTCACCGAATTGGCTAGCACTCAGCAAGTTGAACTTCAGGCCTTTGACATAAGAGATATCATCAATAATTATATGGTTCTTGATCAACTCCCCTCTTCCTTTTGTTTGACCTTCTTTATCATTACCTCCGAAGGTAACTCTAGGTCCTTTGCACTTCTGGAACTCTGTCAGGCAACTTCTGTCACCTGTCATGTGCCTGGAGCATCCACTATCAATAAACCATTCTTGCTCAGAGATAGCTCCATCACACAGTTCCTGCATGATCAAAAGAAAGATTTAGGTACCCAAGCAATGTTGGCTCCTGGGGGCTCATGGAGTCTGGGTAGTTGGTACCATTTCGGTCTCATCAGGTGAAACCTTGGTGGATGGTACCCATTGTCCACCTGATAGTTATAGTAAACCGAAGTGTGATTCACTTTGGGCAGATACTTGTGAGGGTCATGCTTTCTGTTTACGTACTTTTGCATAGCTTTCTTGGTTGGAAAGAAGTCCCATATACTATCAAGAGCAGAGGGGCGGTTAGCTTTGGGCTTCTGAAGTTGACCAGCCAACCTCTTCTGCCTGAAGTTAACTTTCTCTTGATATCTGCCCTTCTGGTGATCATTTCTGGCATGGTTATCATGAGGTTGTCTGTTAACAATTTGTCTTTGATTTTGTTATTCTGAAAACCCTTTCTGTTGTTAGGTTTTTTGCCATGTTCATTGATTTTCAAAAGGGGTTTCTGTTGAACCTTTATCTTTCCTTTTTCTGGTCTGACTTCCTCATGAATAACTTTGGTGCCAGATACACCAGCTTGGCAGATGGGGCTAGAAATCAGTGGCACTATGACTTTATCTGCCTTAGCAACACTGGTGCTAGGCATTACAGAAGGCTCACCTGATTTTGTTGAGCCATATCCAAGACCAAAACCAACACCAATCTGTTGATCAAGTAGTAACCTTTCCATTGAAGACTGGGTCTTCTGGTAGGTGTTGTACTTGATCTCGACTTACTCCATTTCTCTTACTTTCTTTAGAAGAGAAACATTTTCAGCTTCCAGCTGATCTCTTTCTTTAATGAGAAGATTGATTTTGATCTCAACCTCCTTTCTTAAATCAAGAATCTCAACCTTCAACTTACTGCTTTCTTCTTTAACAGAAGAGTAAGTGGTTTGGATGGCTTTAAACTCTTCCCAAAATTCTGACATTGAATCAGAATTGAAAGCTAGGCCTACCGAAGAAAAACTAGATGTAGAAGTAGAGGTTACCTCATCATCGGAATGAGCCATGAGGCATAGGTCTTCTGTTCCAGCGTCAAGGCAATAGAAGGCCTCATCAGAATCAGAGTCAGAACTGGATTCTGTCTGAGAAATGGGGTCTTTCTCAAGTTGTTATGTGACAAGTGCTTTCCTCCTTCTAGTATTGTCTTCAAATTTCTTCTTTTCTCCATCATGCCCTTGTCTCTTGGACACTCTTGGATGTGGACAATCTGCCTTGAAATGTCCAGGCTGTCTGCAATTGTAACAGAGAAGCTCACCACTGCTTTCTGCTGACTTGACCTTCTGAAAAGGTTTTCTGCTGGAAGATGGACTTATTCCATCTTTGGGATTCGTCATAAACTTCTTGAATCTTCTAGCAAAAGCAGCCATATATTCGCCAGATAAAAGAACTGAAGGGTCAAAATCATTTACCTTAGATGTACTGGCTGTGAGGGCTGTGGTTGTCCTCTCCTCTAGTACTTCTTCCTTTTCTTCAATCATCTCGAACTCATGGCTTTGAGGTCTGAGATGAGCTTGTCTGTGGGGTAGGTCTTCACATCCTTGCTGGCTTGAACAACAACCACCTTCATCTTCCATGCTGAAGGAAGACCTCTCAACACTTTGAGGTTGATCTCCTTGGTGGTGAGTTCCTTGCTAAGCTCAGAAATCTCTCCAGTGAGAGTGAGGAGCCTGTCATACATCTTGGATATGCTTTCTCCAGGGAGAAGCTTGAAATCATCAAACTTCTTGTTGGCTATTGTCAGCTTGTTGTCTTTCTCTTGCTCATCACCAGCTCCAATGAGCTCAAGTGTATCCCAGATTTCCTTGACAGTCTTGCACTTCTTTATTCTGTTGAAGTATCTATCATCGATGGACTTGTAGAGTATGTCCTTTGCAATGCTGTCCAGATTATACTTCCTTCTCTCTTCAGTGATCCATTCAGACTTGGCCTTGTTGATCATCTGTGGCCTAGTCTGGTCAATAGCATGCTCAGGGTTGACCTTCTGGAAGTTTGTAAATGGCCAAATGTTCAGTACTTCCCACATCTCATCATGAAGAGCACAGAGATGCGCCTTCATCCGGATCCTCCAGTCATCAAACTTAAGATCTGAAAACATAAGGTTCTTGGAAAGAGGGTGATCCATAATATGAGATAAAAAACAAGTGGATCTTTGTTCAACAAATAACCTAAGAGATTATTAGAACAAGGAGGCTCTCATATCACTTGTTGGTCCCGGTTATACTGGGTAAAGTCTAGAGGGGGGAGGGTGAGTAGACTTTACTGGTTTTTAACTTTTTCGAGCTAAGTACCAGATTTAACAGAATAACCTGTTCTGTTGACAGAACATACTGGCAGCGGATGGGGTTCTGGTAGGGGTTCTGTCAGATCAGCCTCAGAGAAGCAAAGGCAGTAGGCCTTATGTTAACTCAAAAGACACGTTCTGCTGAAACAGAGACCAAGTCTATGGAGTTAATTTGTTCTAACTAAGTGCGATAAATAAATGCAGTAAGTAAATGACATCAGAGATTTTTATAGTGGTTCAAGGAACAACTCGTTCCTCTTATCCACTGTTCCACTAAACTTGTAAAAACGTCTGTTTACAACGCCTTAGTCCTAGCACTTAAAAAGCTCTCCACGTCTTCTTCATGCCTAGATGTCTCCTGGGATGCACTTCCTTGCTTCCTTTAAGACTGGTCCTTTCACTGAGCTTCCTTGAAGTATCACCACTTCACTACTCCAGTTACTTGGACGTCCTTCTCGTTGGAGAAAAGTTCTTGTAAGAACAGGGGTTTCCAACTAGCTTCGTTACAAAAGATTTGTAGTTGAGGAGCTTGAAGTGTTGAAGAACAGTTGGAACTTTGGTTGAGTTGGAAATAAGAAGATGTGAGAAAATAATCTTTCCAACGTCTGTCTTCTCTTGTAGAAGATGATGAAATTTTAATCTCAAGGAGGCTTTTTTATTTTGAATCCTTGAAGGTTTTATGTTTTAACAAGTGTTGAGCAAAAGACGTAGCAAAGTTATATCAAAGTTCTCCGATTTTTCTTCGTAGAGTATCTTTTATACTTGGGTTGTCTTCTTGTTGGAAGAGGAGGACAATGCATTAAATGCGCGAACAATTGACTTGACCAGTGGGACCCGAGAAAGTTGGCGAGTTGCTATTTTGGGATAGAGTTATCCTGAAATATCCTGGAATGCCGGCCAATCATCAACTTTTACTCTTCAGGGTACGGAGTGCATTAAATGTGCATTTAATGCGCGTACTGTAGCTTTTCCGTTGAAGTCTTCTAGCCGTTGAGGGAATCTTCCGTTGGTTTCACCGGTTGAAGAGTTTCATGAAAATTCTCTAAGTGTTAGGCTTTCTGGTGTCTTCATCAGAGAGTCTACCAGAGAGGGTCTTGAGCACTTTTGTTGGAATAAGCTATCAGAGGGACCTTAGGTCTTTTGTCAGAGGCGAACCAACAGAGAGTCTTGACAGTTTCTGTTGTAGGGATGTCCAACAGAGAACCAGAGGGTTTCTGTCTGTGTAAGAACCAACAGAGAGCCAAAGGTCTTCTGTCTGGACGAGGGTCAACAGAGAACAAAAGGACTTCTGTCTGGAGGTCTTCTGTCAGTCGAATATTCTAAGAGATTTTACAGGGAAAATTCTAATACAATAAATCGAAAGAGGGGGTACTTTAAAGTCCTAGTTACTATAGCATCATCAAAATCTAATTACAATTATTCCTTACACATGGCTTCTTTGATACTTCTCAAAATGACGTTTGTTTGAGTTGTTTCGCTTTCATAAATTTCACCCACAACTTCTAAGAGTTCAACACTCGAGCATGATATCCTAATCTAACTGGGTTATTAGAGCCATGTTATTAAAGCGAGCTTTGCGAAGGCTTAGACAACCCCAATTTGTAGGTTGACAAATTTCTTCCCAATTGACAAGATGAACCTTTTTAGCACCTCTCTTACAGTCCCCACAGGAAATTCCTATTAATTTGATCTATAGTGTCGCATATGCTAAGAAGCATCAAAGAACTTTGCATTGCACAATGTGGAACCACTTGCATAACGAATTGAATCAAAGTTCTCCTTCTAGAGAGCTATTTTTTTCTCACATGATAAAGCAGAAAAAGCTTCCTTCTATTTCTGCTCATGAATAATAGGAAAGCCACATATCCCTATACGACTCCATAATGGAGTCATGCGAGCTTTATATTTTTATTTTGGAATTACTTGAGGGTCGACTTATGGGAAACAAATAGCCAGCTTTTAATTAATAATTCGAGTATACACAAGAATCTGTTTGGTTTATCGTAAGTTAAACCTCGTAAAACGCAATGAGATAATCAAATTGGGACAGAGGGGTAATAATTATCCAACATATTTTCCATACTATCCCGTGGGGGTGTTCGTCGGTTCGGTTTGGTCGGTTTTCGATTTGGTCGGTTTCAGTTTTAGAAAAGGTGAAGCCGTAGACCGAACCACAGTACTTGAGTCGGTTTTGGTTCGGTTAATTTAGGTCGGTTTGGTCGGTTTCGACCGGTTTTAGCCCGTTTTTGTCGGTCGATTTTTTAACCCAAAAGGTGAAATCGTAGACCGAACCATCAATGATTAGCCGATTTGAGTCGGTTTCGGTTTCGGTCGATTCGTAGGTCGGTTTCTGTTTTTAGTTTTTTTGTTGACCTACAAGTACTTTTTGTTGAGTAGGTTGCTATCCGGATACCCAGCCCGGTCCAATCCCGTACAAGTACTACATGAGTACATTCCCACCGAATGGATGAAGACGGATATATAGAGCGCAAAGGCCTACCAGGTCAAAGCAACGTGTGATCGTCGCTTTGCTCATTCATTGATTTTTCGTGCTTCGTTGGATCAACGGAGCGTCTCTCTCCTGGTTTGGTAATTTCTTGCTTCCCTTCTCTTTCTGTACCTTTCTTTGGGATTGGGTTTCCAATTATTATTCCCCAACTTTTATTCTCTTGTTTTAAAAACCCTAAAATAATTCCCATCTTTGCAGCTCGTTTTTTTCGTCGATCGCCATGGCTAAGAGCTCCTTCAAGTTGGAACACCCGCTCGGTATCTCTTATTCCAATATCCGTGAACTATCCACCCATAAACTATGTGTCTGCATCTGGCGTATTAATTTTAATCTTTGGCCGCTTCATCTGATCTTTAACTTCTTTTTCTTGGGAATCGGTATATCTGTGCGTTGAGCGAGTGGAATTTATCTACTCCGTATTTGTTTACTGGTTGTTGTTCTATGATTTTCACCCTCACTATTTACAGGGTTGATGTTTGAGTTCTTGTTTTCAGCTTATCCATGACTTCATATATTTCACTTGAGTACCACTATGATCCTCCCACATAGGTCATCCTAAAAAGTTTACAGTTTTTTTGCAAGCTGCTGTTCTTTCTATGTGTATGCATGATTGAGTAGAGTTTACGCGGATATACAAAAATTTTCCGGCTTGCCAGTTATTTGTTAACTTCGTCCAATTGATAATGCCTTGTAGTAACAGTGTCCAATTGGGGATGCCATGTTAGTTGATGGCTCTACTTGATATATTAATTAATATGTACATACAGTTTGTAGTTTGACAGTTACATGTATTTGTTACTTAATTTTGATTTTCAATATTCAGAGAGGCGTCAGGCAGAAGCATCTCGCATCAGAGAGAAGTATCCCGATAGAATTCCTGTAATGAAATTTAACTTTTACAGTTTCTAATGATTATTTCCATCATTTGCAATGGAGCCAAAGATTCATTATTTTTTGACTTGAGATTATGATGGAATAAAGCAAAATGGCTCACTAAACTGTCTGCGCTTCTTTGTTATGAAGCAGCAGTCAGTCCATGCAATTTTGGACGAGATTTTCACTATGGGTCATCCGGAAACAGTCTCTCTGTGCTTTAGTACAGGGGTAAGGCTGCGTACATCCGACCCCCCTTACCCCACCGTAGGTGGGAGCCTTTGCGGCACTGGGGTAAATGAAAATGAAAATGACAGTTTCTAATGATTCTTTTGCATGTATGTGTATATATGTATGTATTTATACATATATTTGATTTGCTCTTCGCTCCATTTCACTAGTCTGTTTACTATTTTTTATACAGGTCATTGTGGAGAAGGCTGAAAGAAGTGACATTCCAGACATTGACAAGAAGAAGTGAGCTCCTCTATGCATGACGACATGCTTTGGCTTTGGTTTTCACAAGCTAATTGTTTACACCATTTTTTACTGTATTATTTTGTCTAAATTGGCAATTTTGAATGGAGGTTTTGGTTGGTTTTGGGGTGGGTGGGCCTGGAGGTCTTAATCTAAGTATTGATTTTTTTTATTACAAAAATTAAAGAATAAGATTGTAGGTGATAATATTAGTTGTGTGAAATGGTCATTTCTGGACTGGCATCAACAGTTCAGACCTGTACCTGTTTGAAAACTAACTCTGATCCCAACCCGAGACTCGGAGTGCCTACCTTTTGTGTCCTTAGATCTGGTTCGGAATCGGAGCTGTATCTAAATATCTCAAATTTGGTCACTTCGTTGTTTTGATCCACATTCATTTTCCATCTAGATTGACACACAACGGAAGAATTATTTGCATGTTCTAAAAATGATATTCACACCATTAAGCAAAAAAATACAAAAGTATTTAGTTATGGGTTATAATCAGATTCAAACCCCATTCATTGTCCTCTACTATCTTCTGTTCCAAAGACGTTCTAAACAAATAGACCCTGAATGCTTGACATATAGCGTTTTGCATGGAAACTTCATTACTGATTCATATTATTCTCGTTAGTGGTTGCAGAGTACTTCTGCTACACTGACTTTATGAGTTGTGTTATTGATTTAGGTGTCTTCAGCCATTGAAACCAATGGACTTTTTTAATACTAGTTTCTCGTGAAATAATGGTCTGTCTATCGTGTGAGATCATTTGGCTTCTATCTTAATGTGAAACAACCTTCTAGTAGTGTTGAATATTTATATGATGTTTTGCAGGTATCTTGTTCCTGCTGATCTGACTGTTGGGCAATTTGTCTATGTTGTCCGAAAGAGGATAAAGTTAAGTGCTGAGAAGGCCATTTTTATCTTTGTGAAGAACATCCTTCCTCCTACTGGTCAGTGCAAATTTCTCACCCATTTTGAGATTAGTGTTCAACAACAGAAATCTTATTTGTTGTAATGCTGTATTTTTCAAATACTTGCAGCTGCTATGATGTCCTCAATTTATGAGGAAAACAAGGATGAGGATGGCTTCCTCTACATGACTTACAGTGGAGAAAACACCTTTGGCTCCTCCTAAATCAGCCAGCAGTTGAAAAGCTGCAGACTTTGTAAATTAATCTAAAGACGCATTTGTAAATCCTCATTAGCTCTTTCTTGTGTGACTTGTGTGTATTGTGTTCAAATGTCTTGAACTTAAGAACTCAAGGGTGAGCGCAAAAGTGGTATTATCATGTCTCAAAAGAGTGTGTTTCTAATATTAAAAGGGTGCTCTCTAGCCTCTCTGATCCTCTCTTATGTTCATCTTACGAGAGTATTTTTCTATTTTAGTCCTATACTTCTATTTTATAAAATTTAAAGACGTCAAATAACTCTGGCATGTGTATGTGTGTGTAAAGAGACCTCTACGGTATTCAATGCTGCCTGGAAAACAAGTAACCACGTGATTGAAGTAAATATTTTAAAGCATTATTGCAAGAAATCTCACAAAAGATTAGTTACATAAATTTTGAGTGTGATCTTTATTTATTCTATAATATTGAGTGATTAGATCCTAATCGTGGATCTTGATTTAATCTCTTCCTTGATGGAACACGAAGGAACAATTTACTTTTGACTTATGACTGAATGAGCATATCGATAATCGATCAAGTCATGTTTATGTATAAGTGTATAACTTAATTCAAAGTTTAATTTATTTATTCAAAAAATGACCTAATCATGACAATACTTTTTAAAATCAGATCTTGGGAAGGCTTTGACCTCGTGCTTCGGAACTTTTACCGAGCTGCTATGCTCGACAGAGTAAATGATTGTGCTTACATGATGCGTTAATGATGTCAAGTTTTGGTTAGGAGCTTGCCTAGGACAATAGTTGAAATCCCTCTGGCCTCTAGCTTTTCTTCCCCTTTTGCCGGTTTGGTAGAGTTATCTCCACATATCTAATGACTTGTCCTTCTGTTGCACCTCTAGACTTTTTGCACCCGCATGCCAGTCGGCTCTTTGGAGGGCTGCTTGATACAACATTGGTGGATCATAGGTGAGGCTTGAAGCAACTCCCGACTCACAATACTGCCTATAATATATTAATATGACATGTCGGGTTTGGTCATTTGCCCCATGTACAATCGCGGAGTCCTTCCTTCTCGTATTATAATTTTTTAGGTCTTGCTCTTCTTTTGTTTAACGGTTAGGAGATGTAAGTAGTGTTGTTTCCCCCCTCTTGCTTGCAGCAAAGTGCATGTTGAAGGAATCTTGCAGCAAAGTGCATGTTGAAGGAATCTTCGGTCATCATCATGTACGATCTTATATTCTCTTGCTCCCATGGTCACTATGTGCAGTCTTCTACTGGCGTTGTGTCCATGGTCGCCATGTACACTCCTTAATTGTCATGCGTCCATTGTCTACCAACTTCTTTTCCACATATGTCCACGGTCACCATGATCTCACTCTCTGGTCTTCTTCCTTAGTTCGTGAATGGTCACCATGTACAAGTTCTCCTTGAACTTTATCGCTTTGCAATAATCCGTCCACAATCACCATACACATTAGTCTAACAATTTTCATCCATATTCACTCTGCTCAAAATTCATGCATGGTCATTGACAACTATACTAACAATGTTGATATTATTATAAATTTCCACATAGAAAATCATTCCTTATCATAATAGATTACATACAAAATTTATCTTCTTGAAAAAAATTATCAAAATAATACGCAACCAAAAATTAATATTTGTGACACCTAATATACATTCCTATACATTTCTTTGTGCGCTATTTAGTACACTTTGTAGATATGTGTATACTTGTGTGCATTGACGGAGCCAGAAGAACATGTTGGGTGGATGGTGGGGGTCAAAACTTTGTCTTGTACAATATCCAAAGGTCCGATTGTTTTGAGACTATATTTGAGTTGAATAATTTATATGTAGGTGAAATAAACGTTAATTTTAAATGAGAATTAAGTTTGGAAACATAATTGATGTTACACAATTAAGTTTTAACTTTCTAATTTCAATGATGTTGATTTTCAAGGGTTCACAATTTTCAGGTGCTTTACATGCTCAACTAGTATAGTACTCGTGCGATGCACGAGTATGTAGTTCTTATATGTAAAAGCTCAATTTAGGTAAATAAAAAACTTCATTAAACATGTAATATGAAATGTATTACAAATTCTCAAACACTTTCTTATATACAATATTTTTGATAAAGCAGTATCACTATCTTCCTTGTCACGTATATATATTTTTTTAAATCAGCACGTACAATTATTACCACGTGAAAGAATACATACAACTAACCATGATTGGAAACAATTTTATGCGAATTTCAACATTGGACAATGATTGCCTTTAACCCTTGTTAATTATCATACCATATGACACAATTAACGTATATTGCCTCCTTTAAAATTTGAACAATAACCTCACATCCTATGGAACCAGACATTCTTGTTATCGATACCTTTTCACTCGCGCTCATATGAAAAACCGGTTAAGACTTTCGCTTCCAAAATTAAAATTAAAATTCATATGATAACATAATAGAAGAAAAAAATTGTACAAATGATTTGATAAATAAGTGTACAACAAATTCAAATAATACGTAATACTCCGTAGTATGTATATGTGGACTATCACAAATCCAGTGACCCATTAATCAAAATTGGTTACTCACCCAAAACGTAAAGAAGCATAAAAGATTGTGGAAATTTCCCACTCATGCAACTTTTCATTTTTTTTGGAAGAAGGTGGTTTATATTGATAAGAAAGAACGTAAGCAGTATACAACCAGAGAAATAGCCCACTGTCTACCGTCCGCTCTTGAACCGAACTTATAACCTGCCACTTCAAAAGAAGTAACCAGATTCGCTGATCCTGAATTGGTCTTACCTGAGCTAATGACTAGCAAACTAGGCTCCCCATCACCTGTCCTATGTTCTAGAGTCTTGACATAAAAAAATTAAACGCTAACAAAAACACACAATGTCCAAAGTAAAAACCAACAAAGAGAAAAATCAATTTAAAATCAAAAATAACTTCAATCTGCGAGAAGCACACGATCTTCACAGGTTTAGGCGGGTCTGAGTGCTCCAATCCGCCTCTTCCCTGTTTTTTGTTCCATCCAGAGCCATGACGTCCTCCTCTGAATGCTCCTGCTCCTGTGCCTCCCAGGTCCGCCTCCATTTCTGTTCTCCCATTCCGCTGTTATTTCGTCTTGCATCCTCAAGTTTGGATTCATCCCCTCCCTCCTGAGTCTTATCCTTCATGTAGCTCTGACCTTGTTCCTTTTTTCCTTTGAGGTTCTTTTGCATCCCCGTTTGGTCTCTTCCTGTCCCTCCTTTGCTCACTAGCCATTTATTACCCATAGAAGGGCGAGGTCGCCCTCCACCCGCCCGCAGCCATGGTCCAAAGGATTTCGCAGCAGCCTTATCCTCTTTTTCATACAGTAAGGGGCAAAAATTTTCAGCATGTCCTATGACTCCGCACCCAAAACAAAAACTAGGAAGTTTCTCATACCTGAAGTTAACCCAGTAACCTTCCCCTTTGCCCTTTTTTAAAGTTGTTCCCACTTTTAATGGTTTCCTCACATTCAGCATCACCGAACCCTCATATAGGCTTCCCACTTTTCGTCAAATTGTTTATCGTCCCAAGAAATGAATTTTCCCAAATGACTCCTAATTTTGCGAGCAGTCTCCAGATCTGAATATCCATAGGGGATATTGTGCACCTATACCCAAAAATTAGCCATATCTAGGGGTACTCTTAGAGGCATATCTCCCTACTTAATAACTTTTAACACTAACAGGTTCTGGTCAAATAACCAAGGTCCATTATCCAGCACACGATTCATATCAATTATGTGGTAAAATGTAAACAAATACCTCTTTTCCCAGATCTCTTGAATCAGTACACCTTTGCCCGGATGCCACAGAGACGCCATCAGATCACAAAAGATTTGGAATTGCACCACTTTGTATGTGAGGATCTTACCGACCAAGGGGAAGGTGTCCACCACTTTACGGGTTAGGCTCAATATTGAATATATGGTCCCGACATCTATATAATATAATAAAGTAAACCCTATGTATTTTAAAATTTGTGTGTGATGGAGTATATGGGTCTGAGCCCCCGGACCCACATACTCGGAAGAACAGAAAGCACAAGGCACAGAGTGGCGCCCTCGTCGGCCAGGACGCCCCCGTTGGCCGAAAAGGGGCCAACTTGGATTATGGTCCTGAGTCCAAAGAACCCGGGTGCCCTCGTCGGCCGTGCCCTCGTCGGCCACGCCCTCGTCAGCCACGAAGACCTCACAGAATCGGATTTTATACTTACTCATTTGTACAGCCCATTAGTGGCTTTGTATTCGGCCCAGTAGCGGTCCAGTTGTAAATGGGCCTCCCAAGCCCAAGGCTTGGGAGCCCAACCCTAATTTTCTCTATAAATACTCCCTTTGGGAGTAGTTATAGGGGTTACGAAATCATTCTATTGAAGCATATTATTGCACTTCTCTCTCTAGCTCTCACTTCTCTCTAGATATACTCTATCATTTGGTGCTCTCGTTGAGAGCTAGAACAATCAAGTTAGCACCCATCGTCGCTACCAAGCAGAGCTAACCACTGACCATGGGGAGAACTAAGTCAAACCGCAACCTCGTCAGCAAAGCCATCCCTGAGGACCAAGAGCCCAGGGAGCACGATGAGGACGCCACGGCCGACCAGGTCGGCGGAGGGGACCTCTTCCAGGAGGCCTTCAACCTCACGACGGACCTCCGCAACCAACTCAACAGCGGAGTCCCCGACGCCCGCCTCGGCCTGGAAAAGAAACAGGCTGAGAAGACGGACCACGCCCCGGCCCAGCCTATGGCCGCGACCTCTCCGTCCGTGGATCCACAGGTCCAGGCCGCGCTGTCGGTCATCATTGCCAGCCTAGCTCAGAACCCCACCGTCCTCAGCGCACTCTTGCCAAGGACCGGGGGGAACGTCACTCAACCTCCTCAGCACCAACCGTTGGCCGTCCAGATAGGCAACGATGAGGGGGTGGTGCCCCAAGACACGGTGTCGTCCCACTCCCACCCTGCTTCCCCTCCTCGGCTCGGGCAGACCCCAGCGCGTGGAAAAGCCTCTACCTTCAATAGGCTAGGTGACACGCGCCGTCGTCCGGTTTCGGAGAGGATGGCGGGACGGATTGGTGATCCTCGTCCTGGCTCACCAAGGGAAAGCTTGGGGTCTGTGTCCCGGACAGCGGACCAGCCCCGCCCGGACAAGGGCAAGGGAAAATTGCACGAGGATGACGTGTGTCACCAGATCAACGCGGCTCACAACGAGCGCATGAGGAACCAGCCGGGCGGCGCTACGGCCGCCAGGGACCCCCGGGACGAGGTCATCGCCCAGCTGGAGAGGAGGCTAGCTCAGATGGAGGCCAGGCAGTCGGCCAACATCCCTACGGCCGGCGCCTCCAACGATCCCGGCCTCAACGCGCTCA